GCGAGCGCTGGTGCCTTTTCACAGACTTCACGTGTCCTTCACACTGTTTCCTCACCTCACCCTGAAAGGCCAAGGAGCAGGGTGCGCAGAGTCACAGCTAGACGGCGCCCCAAGCGGCGTCCACGTCCTCCACCCCAGCTCTCCACAGGAGGACGGCCCCGATCACTCTCTCCTCAGGACGGAGAGAGAGTCCACACTTCACCTCACCTTGGCCGACATGTGGGTCATCGCAGCCCAGCCCAGGAATGTCTCAGGACACGAGCTGGAAACAACGCGGCCTCTCCCCACCCGAGACTGCTTGATGCTCATCCCTGCTTGTGAGAAGGTGAGCAGCTCATCCTGGCCTGCTCTTGGGATGTATTTTCTGTCTCTCAGAATGTTCCACATAATCTGGCACACATCCAAGTTTTTACAGATTTGTTTCATCAATTTATACATATTATTAGTATTCTTCAAAATATCACAAGTCAGATTAATTTATAACTAAGGATTTGATAAGGTAACTCTAGCTCAATTATTTGGCTTTCCAAAATACTCGTTTAACGAATACTTAAGATTTATTTATTTATGCACACAAGAGCTGGGGTACAGGCCATAGATGCCAGGGTTGAAAGGATTCACCAGAGACAGAACAGGGAACAGGGCAGGCCGAATGACAAAATAAATGCTGAGCGGTGCAGCAGGCCAGTCAGGAGAGGTCTGAGGCACATGTCAGTCAGCTCCCTGGCCGGCTGGGGATCCAACTTGTGCACAGTGGCTGTCAGTAGTTTGAGAGCACTGTGTTTAACCCCTGGGCCACCAGGGAGGCCCCTTACCTTTAGTTTGAGGTCAGAAGTGTGACTCCTTCAATTCCCCCCACTTTTAATCAGGAAAGCTTTGGTTATTTGGGGTCTTTTGTGTTTCCATATGAACCTCAGAAATCTGTTCTGTTCCTTTGAAGAATGCCATCGGGATATTTATTGGGGTTGCAGTGAATCTAGAAGGGGCTCTGGGTTGGATGGCCCTTTGGACAATGTTGATTCTTCCAACCCATGAGCTGGGTCTCTCTTTCCATTTCTCTATGCTTTCTATTATTTTTTCCACAATGTTTGATAGTTTTCCTTGTAAAAGTCTTTTACCTCCTCTGTTAAGTTTATTCCCAGTTAATTTTTTGAGTGTGCAATTGTAGGTGGCACGGTTTTGTTAATTTCCTCTTCTAGTTCATTATTTGTACTTAGGAAGGCATATGTTTTTCAATGCAGAGTTTGGTGGCATTACATACACTCACTCTGTCGTGTAACTCTCATTTCTGAAACCAGGGTGTCCCCGAAGGCTCACATACATCCCCAAAATAGACCTGCATTCTTTCTGCTCATTGCTTAACTGTTAACAAAGTCAAACGATTCTCTGTCTTCTAGCCTGGCTACATTACCAAGATGAACATGTTCTTCCCAAGCAGTTCTGCTTCTCCAGAGAAAGAGAACCTCGCAGCTCAAGACCAGCCATCCACCTCGGTCTTATGGGTACACTCTCTTTCATCCAGGGGATGAACTTAGGGGTGGGGGCGACCAAGGGAGATGGCACAAACCTGCACATAGCACACACCTCTTGTCCCCATACCCGAAGGATAAGCGCCCCACACAAGAATGGACCCATAGCCTCCCTGCTCCGTAAGTCTCAGACCGTGCAGCTGTCCACAGCCACTGCAGCAAGAACTCCATCCCCAGCCAGGGAGCTGACCCACAGGGCGCAGCACCTCTCCTGTCTCCCCGCGGCTCCCCTCAGCAGTGGATTTCAGTGGATCTGCCTGTTCTGCTCCCCACTCGTCTCTGGGGAGTCCTCCCCCGCCCCGGTCCATTCCCTACCCCTGGAGCTCAGGGTTCCTGTAGTGTCCTCACCGCTGGAACGTGGACAGTGTCTCTGGGCTGTGCTGATCCTGCACGTCCTGACCCCGGGATGTGGCTGAGCTGGGCAAGGTCCCCACGGAGCACGGTGGAGGCCATTCCTGGGCCTCCGCCGACAGCATCACCACCCACCTGGGCCACCCACCCATCCACAGAAGCCTCACCCGCCACACCCCTGGACGCCCCAACACACCTGCAGGGGGATGTGACACGAGTCACCTGAACCCCTCACCTTCAGAGCAGAGAGTGACCCTTGCTGCAACAGCCCACATGGGTAACGTCACAGCAACAAACACTTCCAGGAAACATGGCACTAGCAGAGGAGCGCTGTCTTATAAAACCCTGCAGGCCTCTTTGGACCAGGTCTGAGGTGAAGGCTGAGGGGCCCGATGTCATCTTTAATGGGCGCTCGAGGACACCTAGGAGCCTGCAGCATCATGGAAAGCGGCCTGCAGCCTAGGGATGAAAACCTCAGCGACCTCCCATGGCATGTTGAGGAATATGGCCCGTGGCCCCGACATGCCAGGTGGAGTTTAAAGGGACCAATGTACCTCCCCCTGAATCAGGGAGGATGCTCTCAGGGGACAGACAACCCGTCAGTCACTGACTTGGAAACACAGGATGGGGGCTCTGGCTGTAGACATGTTCCTGACAGAGGAAGCTATGTAGAGGGCGCGGGCAGGGAGGAGCAGGCGCCCAAGTCCCAAATCCATGATCAGAGAAACAATCCCCGACGGGCGGGCCTCGAGCCCAGCCCTGCGGAGAGGATGCCACGGAGCCGACACAGGGCACGACTGCAAATCCACAGAACGAGGCTAGGTGTGGACATGCAGGTGAGTAACAGGGGCAAACTCAGTGGGCTTTGGCGCCTCGGGAGAGCCCTTAGGCCAAGCCCCTCAGCAAGAGACACGCAGCTGAGACCCTCACGACCAGCCCCCACTCCCTGCCCGCCACAGCCATGGGAGCCCCTGCTGCTCGGCCCCAGCGGCCACCCCTCGGGACCGTTCTGCTCAGGGAGCTTTCTTGTCCTTACTCCTATGAGTAAATGTCTGGCTCTTCTGGAACTCTGGGCTCCACTTGGAACTACTTTCACACAAAAGAGAAGAAAAGAAGAAGAGCACACCGAGGCCTCAGACTCCGGGCCTGCTGCTCAAACTCTCTGCTCGGCATCACCACAGCGCCAAAGAAATACACCAGGAGGTGCCCGGGGCCGCTGGGGGAAAGGGGTAGAGAGAGTGACATCAAGGACTTCCTCGGCCACGACCTTCCACGCCAACTACTCACCCCAAGGTATGAACTGACTCAGACAAAGACCACATTCAGAGCACGGCCAGCAACGTCGGAAGGGATTATGTTCAGAACAAAGAGAGAAGGAAAAAGACCTGGATTACATCATCACCTCCAGGAGGAATACAGGGAGACGAAGAAAGGGTCAGGGGAAAAAGACAAATCTAGCAGGCAGATGACAGAGCTGAGACACCAGCAGGGGACAGGGCAGAAGAGGGGCCAGGAGGGAAGGAGGAGCACCAGGGCCTGGGGTGACGGGTCACAGGGGTGGTGCGGACAGGACATTTGCAAGAATTATAAAGAAGGGGAGCGATTCAATATTGCACAAAGATGAACAACAATTTAATCAAAAAAATTAAAAGGCAAGAATCCTTTCCTTTAAAAATAATATAGGAGCCTCTGGTGGTGCAGGGGTGAAAGTCTCAGCACTATGAAGCTGCTCTCAGTACTGCAGAACAAATTTGATCCCTGGCCAGGGAGGTGACCCACATGGCACAGTAGACCTCTCCTGTCTCCCCACTGACCCCTCAGCAGTGGATTTCGGTAGATCCACCTGTTGTGCTCCCCACTCTCTCTGTGGAGAATCCTCTCACCCCCTCATAACTCTGGCTTGCACCCCAGTTCTTGTATGCAGAAGTAATCTTCCAAAAAAATTCCCTCATTTTGTAGAACTGGGGAGTAGGCCAGAGGTTCGGGGTGAGAGGATTCACTAGATACTGAGTGTGGCGACAAACAGGCAGAACCACTGAAATACCTGGCTAACGGGAGCAGCGGGTGACACAGGAGAGACCTGCTGCGGCCTCTAGCATATGTGGGACGGCTCCCTAGCAAAGGCTGAAACCCTGGCCAGAGCAGGCAATAGCGCTGAAACTTAACCCCAAGGCCACCAGGGAGGCCCTGAGAAACTTTCATCATGAAAGGTAGGTAAAGGACAGCTGCAGACCTCAACCTATAGCCGAGAGCACACATTTCAACATTTCCTTCTAGAGGAGGACATTTTGGTGGTGAGCAATTCCAGCATCGGGGGGCACCACAGAGACTTAGAGTACTGGACAGAACGTGACGACTAAGTTAGAAAACACAGAGAGATCACTTACCCACACAACATGCAGTGTGCCATGTAGACAGACAGCTACCGTGAACATGAATAGCATCATCCAGGAACTTAAAAGGATACTAGAAGCAACAGCAACAGGAACAGAGACATCATCACTGCATGAACTTGGGAGAAGAGTGAACCAGGTAACTCCACGCAATTAGGAGTGAAACTATATGTGAGTTCCCATTGCTCTCAACTGAATGATGTGGTTTGAGCTCCTAAGTTTGAATAGTTTTTTTTTAAGATTTTTATTTATTCAAGCATACAACAATCAGGGTACAGGCCAGATGTGTGGGAGGGTGAGAGGATGCACCAGAGACAGAGCGGGGAACAGAACAGGCAGACTGACCGAAATACACTGCTGAAATACACGCAGCGGCCCAGACAGGAGAGGTCTGCCGCACCATGGGGTTGTTCCTGGCCGGCCAGGGAATCAAACTCCCACCGCAAAGGCCGCGAACAGCTTCATAGTGCTGCGCTCAAACATCTGCACCCACCGGGGGAGGCCTGCCTGCCCACTCTTGACATTCTTAGCATTTCCCTCCAGTGTGGATTTTGTCATGCCTAGTGAGGGCTGACTTCCTGAAAAGTTTTCCCACATTCTTCACAATCATAGGGATTTTGTCCAGTGACATCTCTGATGTCCAGTGAGAGCATGCTTACTGGAAAAAAATTTTCCCACACTCTTGACACTCATAATGCTTCTCTCTAGTGTGACTTCTCTGATGTTTACTGAGGGATGTTTTCTGGCAGAAAGTCTTTCCACACTCTTGACACTCAGGGTTTCTCTCCAGTGTGACTTCTCTGATGTCTAATGAGGTTTGACTTTTGGGAAAAAGCTTTCCCACACCCTTCACAATCATAGGGTTTCTCTCCAGTGTGACTTCTCTTATGTCTAATGAGGTTTGACTTACGGGAAAAAGCTTTCCCACACACTTCACAATCATAGGGTTTCTTACCAGTGTGACCTCTCTGGTGGTGACTGAGGGATGATCTCCAGGAGAAAGTCTTCCTACACTCTTGACATTCATAAGGCTTCTCTCCAGTGTGACTTATCTGATGGTTACTGAGGGATGATTTCCAGTGGAAAGTCTTACCACACTCTTGACATTCATAAGGCTTCTCTCCAGTGTGAATTCTCTGATGCTCCCTGAGGTAAGACTGACGGGAAAAAGCTTTCCCACACTCTTCACATTCATAGGGTTTCTCTCCAGTGTGACTTCTCTGATGGAGACTGAGGAATGACTTCCTAGAAAAAGCTTTCCCACACTCTTCACAATCATAGGGTTTGAGCTCTCCAGTGTGAGTCCTCTTATGTAGAGCAAGAACTAACTTACAGGAGAACACTTTCCTACATGCTGGACATTCATTGTGTTTCTCTCTAGTGTGACTTCTCTGATGGTGAATGAGGGATGGTCTCCAGTGGAAAGTCTTCCTACACTCTTGACATTCATAAGGCTTCTCTCCAGTGTGAATTCTCTGATGGTTACTGAGGGATGATTTGCAGGAGAAAATCTTCCTACACTCTTCATATTCATAAGGCATCTCTCCAGTGTGAATTCTCTGATGCTCATTGAGGTAAGACTTACTGGAAAAAGCTTTACCACACCCTTCACATTCATAGGGTTTCTCTCCAGTGTGAATTCTCTGATGTCTAATAAAGTGTGCCTTACTAGAAAAAGCTTTCCCACACCCTTCACATTCATAGCATTTCTCTCCAGTGTGAGTCCTCTCATGTAGAACAAGAACTGACTTACAGGAGAACACTTTCCTGCATGCCTCACATTCATAGGGTTTCTCCCTTATATGAGTTCTCTGATGGACACTAAAAGCAGATTTCCACCTGAAAGTTTTCTTACATACCTGACATGGGTAGCGCTTCACTCCCGTTTGAGATTGTGGATGTAAAGTGAGGGCAGTCTTCCATGAGTAAGTTTTCACATAATCGTTAGAGCCAAACAACTTCACTGCAGTGAGATTTCTCTGGTATCCCCTCTGTAAGGAAATCTCAGCGGTGCCCCCACACTCATCAGGTTGATCGTCTGCTTGTGTTTTCTGATGTTCAGTCAGAACAGAGGTTTTAGAGGCCACTTCACCATATCTCTTATATCCCAAATTATTCTTTCCTAACTGGGTACTCTCACGCGGATAGGTGTGAAATGTGTTGCTGAGACTGGCCCCACTTTCACAACATTCCTGCTGCTCGTGTTCAACATACCTAGGAAGATTCAAATGCACTGGAGTCATCTCCGCAGCTCTCCCCTTTTCATTACAACTGCAGAGAGTCTGTCCTCCTTGGGTTCTGTCTCGGGCAACGAAAGGTACCTCATCACGGGTGTCCCTGCACTCATTGCATTTATGGGCAGCCCCTTCTGGAAGGGCTCCTTTAGGTGTAAATATTGTTTCTTCACTCACAACTTTTCCTTGTTCATGAAATTCAAAAGGCTGTTGAAAGTTCTGAATCACCTGGTGACTAAGGTGCTCAGGATACTTGATGGGTTCCCTCATTCTACTAAAGACCTCCTTGTACTCTCCAGCATGCCCTTCATGAGGCTCACCAGGGATCATCATGGTCCTATGTATAGTAAAGTTCACAGGCATCATCGCTGAATTGTTTTCATTTTTGATACTATGGTTCAAACAATGAATTGAGTGCAAATTGCTTTTTTCCATTAAGTCAGTTCTCTCGTTGAATGCTATTTTGCTGCTGGTGGTAAGAACTTGCCACACATGTCTGCCCTGATTTGCAGGGCTGTCCTGAGTCAGGTGATCCACAGTATGGACATCTAAAGTGAGATAAAAATGGCCATGTCTCTAAGCATTTTGAGTGAATACTACTAAGTGGCACAAAAGCTCCTGTATTACAACACAATTTACAGGTATTGATTTTCTGATTCATGCTTTTTGCCCATAGCAAATTATGGGGAGACTAGATTTTTTGGTATTTTTTATTTTAGCATAGAAGATCTGGGGTGTAGGCCAGAAGTGCAGGAGTGGGGGTGCTGTAGGGGAGCGTGGAGACAGTGTTTTGAACAGAACAGGTGGACTGACTCAAATACACTGCTGAGGGGAGCAGTGGGTGAGACAGGGGAGGTCTACTGTGACAAAGTGGGTGAGCTACTTCACTGTGGATCAAACTGAGGCCATAATAGTGAGAGCTAAGAGACTTAATCCCTAGGCCTCCAGGGAGGCCCCAATTAACAAATTTTCTAATGCCAAACCAGGATAACAAAGCAGTAAAACTAATTTAATAATTGCTTTGTAAATCATAAATATTTGGTGAAAATAGTCCTTTAACTAGATTTGTCAATTTCAACCAGAAGCATTTCATCCAAAATAGATCCTACACACCTTCTTTCTTAGACTGACCCTGTGCAGCTCTTGCAGGTACTTTCTGAATAACCAAGCCCTGCAGAGGCCATGGCTTTCCCGGAAACCTGTGGACTGAGTGACCCAGTCATTGCCTAGGCACTTTAAGCAAGAGGCCTGCTGAGACACAAGGACTCTGCTTCTCCATTTCCTTAGTTTTTCTTTCGATCCCGGCCCTGGCCACGGTCACCTGCAGAGGTTCTCAGAGGCATGCACATCCCTCCACGGCAGAGACCTGTCAGTTCTTATTTAAATACATAAGGCTCAGAATCCTAATACATGCAGCAAACTCCGCCTCATCATTGTGTCCCACGTTCCTGCTGATAGGAAAAAAGTTCTGCATCCAGCCTGTGGCTATCAGTGTTAAAGTCTTTTCCCACATCATTCTGAGAGCAACACCCTGGTGTTCTCAACGCACTCGCTGGAACCTGTGTTTCTGCTTTGTTCATAGCAGCTCCTGTTTTTATGTCGTGTGTGACCTCCCCATAAACATACAGAAAGAATAAAAAAAAATTCCTCAACAGGAACCTAAAGAAAACAGTTTATGAGAATACACTAAGAGAGAGAATAGAGATATGTGATTACTGCAGAATCATCCCCATGTATCAGGGACTTCATACTGGTTTAAGAACATAGACGGCCATTTTTAAAAGAGCAGGACGTAATTCACAAGAAAGTAGTATTTGGAAACTGAATAAAGAATCAGTTTGATATATGCAGACACACTCTCCAAGATTGGACACTGAAAAAGCACCTCAGTGTGGCCAATATCACTGGCCACACTCCCAGCCTCCTCTCAGCCCCCTGGCCTGGCAAGCACTGACTGACCTGACAGGTCCTGGTTTGGGGGATCGCCCACAGTCCACGGCTGTAATCCCTGCTCCGACCTGATGCTCTCCTCAGGATCAGTAACACAGTGCCCTGTGATGAGAAACAGTGGTGGTCTTCGATCAAGTTCAACTTCAGTCTTTGAAAACTAACAAATGCAGTGTGAAGAGCTGTGCAAAAGAGGCCAATCTGAATCTTTCCAAACGAAAACCGAAACACCCACAATGTACACTGCCTGCCATGTTCAACCTCACCAACACTCAGTTTCATAAGCAAGTGCACACTTGTCAGTGCAGAAGACAGCATTGCACTAGAGTGTTACACTGGAGCTTCCTCACCTAAGGACACCAGGTGATTGCAGGTCTCCAGCATCACATCCCGGTACAGGGTCCTCTGATCTTCACTCAGGTACTGCCACTCCTGCCACGTGAAGTTCACAGCCACATCTTCAAATGACACTGTCCCTTCTGAGGGAACATTTCTCATCTCAGGGCCGGCAGCCTGGGTCAGACAGAGCAAGTGCTAACACATCTTATTTTGTGGGTCTTCAGTCCTGTATAGAATTTGAAGTTGAAAGAGCCTCGCCTCTACATTCACCCCTTTGGTCCTACAAGTAGAACTATAGCTTACCTTATATATTTGGAAGTGTCTATGATTCTAAGAATAAAAGGATGAATAAAATTGGCTCCTTGAGGAGCTGATAGCCTGGCTGGCAGGTGTAATAGACTCACACCCAGAATCATGTGCTAAAGGAGCTTCATAACAAATTAAAAACATGTGCAACTTTGTGCCAATATTTTACTCCCATGACCTCAAAGCCTGCTATCTCCAACTCACAGTAAACAAAAACTGAACCCAAAACCAGGATGTTCAAGCAATGAGGTGGGAAAAAGCAAAGGTAAGAGATGTTCAACTACAAGCAAGTATAAACCAGAGATGCACTATTGGGGGGTGGAGAGATTAGGGTTAAAATAAGGGGGGTGGGATGTATGGGGACTATAACCAAGATGAAAATGCATAACTTGTGCAGAAATAAAAAATGATGTAAAATATATATAAAATAAAATTTTAAGAAAAGATGTTCAGCTGACAGAGTCAGAAGAAGACAGATCAGGTCATCACTTCTAAAATGGAAGGACAAAGGGGAGGAGAACTTGGTAATAACTTGGTGGCTGAGGTATGAGGAATGTTTTCCTAATATGCTGTCTGCATGAAGGGCTGGTAGACACTGGAATTCCACACGCAACTGGACATGTGTCTGATAGATCAGGAAGTCTAAGGTGAAAACAGAAATTTGGGAATCAGGTCCTCCCTGGTGGCACAAGAGTTTAAGTCTCAGCACTATGAAGCTATCGGCAGCTGCTGCAGCAAGAATTCAATCCCCAACCAGGGAGCTATCCACAAGGCACAGCAGACCTCTCCTGTCTCCCCGCTGCTCCCCTCAGCAGTGTATTTCAGTCAGTCTGCCTGTTCTGTTCCCCACTCTGTCTCTGGTGAATCCTCTCACCCCCTGCACCTGTGGCCTACACCCGAGCGTTTATATGCATACATAAAATAAATATTAAAGAAAAGAAAGAATTTGGGAATCTCCAGGATATTATTGATAGTTTTCATCACCGTAGGGGAGAACACGGTGACCAGAACAAAAGGTATTGAAAGAAGAGGAAAAACAACTAAGAGACAAATATTTCTTTTGGAGAAAGAAAAAAAAATAGATCATAGCAATGAAAGAGTTTTGAAAAATAAGATACACGGTATAAGAAAACAAATATCTTAAGAAATCCGCAAATTTATTCCATCATTTCCTTTGCTATGTAGTAAATCCTGTGCTCCTCCACATACATATAGAATAGGAACCCATTAAAATAAATTTTCATTTGTATTAGCTAAAAATGGATTCAGAGGATTTTTCCTCAACACAAAACAAGTCCTTGACAGCCACAGGCGACATCAACATTCCCAGTGAGAGTAGGACTAACAAAGACGCTCAGTGTCCCCTATTCACAATGGGTTTGGGTGACGCTACGTAACAACAACAACAAAAAGACAACATACATAAAAATGGTCATAACTAGTTATAATTCATTCTTGGAAAACTAATGAAAGCCACAGTAAAGTGACTCTGGAAAGGAAAACCCAGTGAGCAGACTATAACACACACCCGTGTTCACACACACAGGAGCTCCTGTACGCTGCCAGTGAAATGACAAAACAGTAAGCGATACATATAGCGGAACCAAGGGCAGAGACTGAGCTGGAATAAAGAAACCCGGAGGGTTAAACAATGAATTAAACAAATGCAAAGACAAAACAGCTTCCAGGACACGATGAGCCTGCTGCACTGACAGCAACTCTTGCAAGGTAACCCGGCACATCCCAGTTCTAGGAAAACAAAAATGCATTTATTTACAGGCTCATTGATTAAAACACTAATACGAGAAATAAAACAACAGCAAAGAGAAGGTGGATGGCTCATGTCTGCGCACAGAAACTCACGGGGACCTCCCAGCAGGAGTGGGCTCAGGATGCCATAAAAGGACCATATGATGAAATGGGACAATACAATCCCCTCGCACTTTCGACCCTGTTCAAAATGGAAATGTGCAGCCATGAGTAAAGGACTGGAATACACAGCTCTGCAAATCACATACCCAAGCAGGTCCTAACACATGAACGTTCTCAATACGATCAGTCACAAAGGAAAAATGAATCAGAAGTACAAGAGATGAGATTTCACGTCCGCTGGGATCACAATGATTTAAAAAGAAAGAAAAGAACAAGTACTGGCAAAAATTGGGACCTGGCTCCCTTGTGCACTGTTGTGGCAAGCATAAATGATGCAGCCAGGAGGGAAGACAGGAAGGTGATTCTTGGGAAAAGGGAACTCAGAATGACAGGAGGACCCACCCCCACCCCGGGGTGTTCACCAATAGCAGGGACAGCAGGAACGGGCAGAGACGTTTGCTCACCTACTGTCACTGCACCACCAGTCATTACAGCCCAAAGCAAAATCAACCCAAGCTCCAGGTGATGGATTAATGTATAAATAAGTCTGGAAAATACACATAAGAGATTATTAATGAGCCTCACAATGGAACTAAACAATGACACACACTACAATATGAATGCACTCCTGTACGATACCTATGAAATGATAAAACAGTTAACAATGCAATAAAATAAGAGATTCACCAAGAAAACAAGGTGTAATAAGACTCCATTCATACAGGTCTGAGTTGTCAAACTCTTGAAAACAGAAAGTAAATGGTGGACACAGGGGCTGAGGGACAGAGCAGTTGGGAGCAAGAGTTTAATGAGTACAGTATTTTATTACTGGGAAATGAAAAAAACTGGAAGGTGGTGATGGCTGTATAACACTGTCAGATACTAAAAGCCAAAGAACACCACATGCAATAACAGCGAAAGGAGACTTTTTATTTTACATTTAAATAAAGGGTCAGGGGCTTTCCTGGTGGCTCAAAGGTAAAGACACTACCTATGGAGCTGTCCCGCAGCCACAGCATCACGAGTTCAATCCCCAGCCAGAGAGCTACCCACATGGTGTGGCAGACCTCTCCTGACTCGCCCACTGCTCCCCTCAGCAGAGTATTTCAATAGATTTGCCTGTTCTGCTCCCCAGTCTGTCTCTGGTGAATCCTCCCCCTCCCACACCTCTGGCCCATACATCAGTTTTTGCATAAATAAATTCATCTTTTAAAATATGAATGAATGAATGAATGAATGGAGGGCCACATTTTCTAGGAAAAGGAGAAAAAGAAGCAACTGTCATGCTGGGCAGAAGAGCAGCCACTGCTGCTCCCCACAGTGCAAAGGTTTATAAAATGAAACACTTGCATGGTCACAGGTGACAGAAGAGCTGGTAAAATTAGGTTGCAAAATATATTCATTCTATCAATATTCTATAAACATCTATCAAAATAAAAAAATCTACCATTAACCGTAACTTCAGCAAGAATCATACGTATGACAAATGCAAACACACCTACTATACTCTAGACTCGATGACAGAAACCTGAAGCTCTTTATTAAAAAGTACATTGAGCATCACTGACATAAACTCCCAACAACCAAAGGTCAAATGATGAACATCTGCGCTACCTGGTTTTACTCAGCGAGTGTCTGTGTCATGACCCTTGTTCAAACATGTCCCACTGACCCCTGAGTACTTTCTCCCCCTGAACTCTGAGGTGTCACCACACCCTGGCCAGTCGGAGGCAGAAAAGGGAGCAACCTCATCACTGAGAAAATGCATCCATCAGGTTTGGCCAAGAATGAGAACTGTAATGTGAAAGAAAGTGAACACACACACTCACACACATGCACACATGCACGCATGCACGCACGCAAGGTGGTGCTGTTGTTAGCAACCATTAAGATATCAGGTAATACTGAAGAGTAACTTGCATTGGGTGAGACTAAACTCTGGAACAGAGAAATCCCTTTCTGGTGGCGGGAGACCTGGGCTGAGAAGGATTTAATTCCACACGGGAGGGCACAACACAGGACGAGGTTTGCATGTTGCATGAGCAGCAGGTGCCATCGGGACAGCTACAAGCACAGTCAGGTGGGAGCCGAGCCTGTGGTACTAGGCCTGGGCAGGAGGCCCACGCTCAAGTGTAACTGGCAGAAATGGCAAAACACAGTTGACTGACTCACTAAGGAGAAGTGCAGACTGAAGACGGGAGACCAGATCGGAACACAGGGACTAGCTACATTCAGGAGCACAAGATACTCAAGCATTCAGGGACACACAAAAGAAATCATCAGAGAGACTATGACAGAAGTAAAAACAAAGAAATTTGCATCTTCCAAAACACTGAAGACGGAGGAAAACTCACCAACACATACGACAAGGTCAACATTGCCCTGAACCCCCCCAAAAAAAGACAGCATAAAAGGGAAAAATAGACCAACACCACCAAAGAACAGAGAAGCGAAAATCCTCAACAAATTCCAACCGACTTAATACAGCAACATGGAGTCTCCCTGGTGAAGCAAGGGGTTAAGGCAAAGCACTATGAAGCTATCCACAGCCTCTGCAGCATGAGTTCCATCCCCAGTCAGGGAACTCACCCACACGGCACACCTGACCTCGCCTGTCTCCTTGCTGTTCCCCTTAGTAATGTACTTCACCAGATCTGCCTGTTTTGTTCCCCACTCTGTCTCTGGTCAATCCTCTCACCCACCACATGTCTGGCCTGTACCCCAGCTCTTATATGGATAAATAAATCAATCTATAAAATTCCAAAAGGATTAAATATTTGGTGATGTACTTGACAGAAAATATAGGACACACTAAGGACAGCTGCCCCAAAGTGCTCTAGGGAACACAACCCCAACACCCAGGGAAACAAAAGCAAAAATCAACAAGTGGGACATCACTAAACCTAAAAGCTTTCATACCTTAAAAGAAACCAGCCCAAAAACTGAAAGGCAGTCTACAGAACAGAAAAAGAATCTGCATGCCACACATATTTCAAGGGGTTCATTCCAAAATTTATAACATCTCCAAACAATGCGAGAAACCAACTGATGACTCAATTAAAAATGGACAAAGGGGGGCCTCCCTGGTGACACAAGGGTTGGGACGCAGCCTATGAAGCTTTCCACAGCGCAAGCCTCTGCAGCGCAAGTTCGATCCCTGGCCGGCAGGGAGCAACCCGCATGGCGCAGCAGACCTCTCCTGACTCCCCACTGCTCCCTCAGCAGTGTGTTTCAGTAAGTCTGCCTGTTCTGCTCCCCACTCTGTCTCTGGCGAATCCTCTCACCCTCTGCACCTCTCGCCTGTACCCCAGTTCTTGTATGCATAAATGAATAATTCTTAATTAAAAAATGGACAAAGGAACTACATACACTCTTCTCTAGAGAGGGAATTCTGACATCCTACAGACAATAGGAATGTTCACCTTAACTTATTTCAAGATAAATGTAAATTAAAGGCACACTTTGATGCCACCTCACCCCTTGAGAAGGCCCAAATGAAAACGAATGGATTTATACAAATCGGGGGGTGAGGGTTGAGAATTTTATGGGGACTATAACGAAGATGAAAATGATTACACTGTGCAAAAATGAAAATGATGTAAAATAGTATTTAAAAAAGTGAAACACTAAAAAAAAAAAATGGAATGAACAACGCTGGAGAGGGCACAGAGAAAAGGGAGCTCTCACCCACGGCTGGTGGCCATGAAAGTCGGAACAGACCCTGTGGATGAGGGTGCAGAGGTTTCTTAAGGAAATAAAAACGGAAATTCCATATCATCTGCAATATTTCTATACATTATCCTCACGGGAAAACTCAAACACAGAAAGATTTATCCCATTTGTGAGCAGAGCAGCTGTGTTTCCAACTGCCCAGTCATTGCCCAATCTACATCCCTTCGGCAGAGGCAGGGCAGGAAAGGTGGAGCACACACAGAGGAGCACTGCAGGGCTGGGAGGAAGGAGCAAAGGGCCACACTGAGGATAAAATGGGTGGGCAAGGAGGTGATATTGTTTTTTTCTTTTTTAAAAATATTTATTTATTTATGCATACAGGAGCTGGGGTACAGGCCAGAGGTGCAGGGGAGGAAGGTGAGAGGATTCATCAGAGACAGAGCAGGGAACAGAACAGGCAGATAGACCGAAATACACTGCCGAGGGATGCAGCAGGCCAGTAGGTCCGCTGCACCATGTGGGTAGCTCCCTGGCTGGCCGGGGGATGGAACTTGTGCTGCAGAGACTACAGACAGCCCCATCGGTTGCATCTCAACCCCTTGTGCCATCAGGGAGGCCCCAGGAGGTGCTATTCTTGAGTGAAATAAGCTAAAAAGTAAAGACACATATGAGATAGCTTCACTCATCTGTGGAAAATAAATACCCAAAAAAACATTTACAGCCAAAATACTTGAATAAAACTTGAACAGGGTCATTTGAAGGTAAAGATGACCACCAGAGGGAACAGGGAAATGGGTGGAGAAGTTAGGGAGGGAGGCAGACGGGGGATGGGCCAGAGTGGTTTGGTAGAGGGAAACAAGGGGTAGGGCAAGACCCATTAGGATTGTAGGAAAAAACTGGCAACTATTTCAGCAGAAGGCTTTTAGTGCTACACATGTCAATGACAGATCGAGGAGGGAAAATAAGTAAAATAATAAGAAAAAAGTATAAGAAGCTTTAAAACAATTTAAAAAAAGGAAATTTCCCAAAGGTCACACATGGTGTTCTCAAACATGGCAGGAACTTTTGGAGAGTGTAACTGGACTGGAGAGCAACTTAGGGTGTAGTGAGTGTCACTAGAAATGCATTCAGACCACACCAAGGAGAAATGCGCAGGAGCAGTGGAAACAACGGCCAGAAAAAAGGACTCTGAAGAGTCTACTGGGCACCTTCGGTTTGCAGGCCACCTGAGAGAAGGCAGGGGCAGGTGTGTAAGGATCCCCATTGGACTCAACGGCACACATGCCAAGACTGATGCCTGCATGAAAGTCTCCGAGAGTTGTGTAGGACACAGTATGATTTTAGCTACTGCACAGAAACCTTAAAAATTTAGTTGGAGCCTCCTGGGGGGCGCAAGGGGTTGAGCGTTGGGTTGTGAAGCTGCCCGCAGCCTCTGCAGCGCCAGTTCGATTGCCAGCGAGGGTCCCACATGGCGCGAAGACCTCTCCTGCCGCCTGCTGCTCCCCTCAGCAGTGTACTTCGGTCCTTCTGCCTGCTCTGCTCCCCGCTCTGACTCTGGTGAATTCTCTCACCCTCCTGGCTTCTGACTGTACCCAGTGTATGTATAAATAAATAAACAAATCTTGAAAAAAAAATCAGTTGTCCTTTTTAAAAGACATGTGTCTCCTTCACCCCCATTCTGCACTCAGGTCCTCAAGCCCCATCCTCCCCCTCCTCCCTCACCCTGCACTGGACCAGCGCAGAGCTGGGGAGTGTTTCTGTCCAGCGGGGTGAAGAGCCACAGGCCACACCTTCAGCGTCATCAACCGCGACCCAGGCACAGACTCTGTGCTGCGTGAGCACCAGGGCAGAGCCCCATCTTCACACATGCTGGAAATGTGAAGTGCCTGGATCTATGCCACACCTTTCTCTGGTGAGGAATGTGTCCCTGGAGAAAACTATGTTTCTAATTTACGTGTTTGTTGACATACTCCCATAAAGTCAATGCACCATGAGCTGAAGCAAACACAGCACTCACCAGAGACTGGTCCATTGTCGCTGCTCTCACAGATGCGCCAGGGCTCTGGAGGCGGCGCTTGGAGGGGCGATGGGTCCAGCACAGAGGACGGAGGCAGCTGCACGGGGTCCTGGAGTCTCCTGTCCAGAGCCCGCCACAAGCTACCTGAGGACACCAGAGAGTCACTGCGGGTGCCGGCCGTGTGACACTTCTAGCAGGGGCAGGAGAGGCCCCCCGAGTCCATGAGCGGCAGAACGTGGGTTGATGGTTCACCATAACTTAGTAAAAGGTGACACTGCCCACTGCCTGATCAACAGTCACGCCAAGAACAACAGTCTCAAAGCTGATGAGTCACTTCTGAGTGTGGACACAATTTCCAAGGAGACTACACCCCGAACGCACTGTTCTGCCAGGACACCCTGGCAATGGCTCGGTGCCTCTTCCCGCCCTCCCCTCCATGGACACCCAACAGAGATGCAGTCCCCAGGGGTGAGCACATCCAGGCAGGAGGCCAGAATGCAGTGGCCAGCAGGACGCCGCCTGGGGGCGGGAAAGCAAAGCGCACCCGGAAATTCAGACAACAGGCCTCTAATGCCCCAGGAACTCCCCGCACCCCCGCCTTGCAAACCCAGTTTCCCCCTGACCTCCCCTCCCCCACAGGGACCGCCTCCCCCTGGCAACCCACGAGATGTCACCCGCCCACCTGGGTCCGTGAATCTGGCCCCGGGCGCAATAACCCCCCCAAAACGCAGCCCGGCTCTCCCCTCCCTCACCGCCCGACTTTGGGGGGCCCAGAGGAGTCAGCGCACATGCGCACAGGCGGACCCGCGCTTCCCCAGGGCCCCCGCCTTGGGGACACCGTCCCCCCGCCCGGGGAAGACGCCGGGCAGCGTCCGGGGTCAGGGCCGGGCGGCCGCGCCTGGGACACCCCGAAAAGGCCGAACCTTCTCCCCAACGGCCCTGCCCCGCCCCCACGCGCGCTCCGGGGGAAAAGGCTCCAAAGCGCCCGACTCCACGCGGCCGCGGCCCCCACTCGCCCGCGCCCCCGCTCCCCAACCCCCGCGTCTCCGCTCACCCGCGCCCAGCCTCCCGGGACAAAACCGCGCTCACCTCGGGGCGCCCCAGCGCTCGCGGAGGCGCCAGAACGTTCGAAAGGACGGGGGCGGGGCCGCGCCTGCGCAGATCGCGGAAGCCCCGCCCAGAAACCTCCGCGGGAACCACAGGGGCTGGAGACTACATTTCCCACAACCCCTTGCGCAGCCCGTCGGGCCGTCGTCGGGGTGGGGTTGCAGCCTGGAAGTGGGAGGAGTGGAGGTTGAGGAGAACCAGCAGGTGGGCGAGGCCCCTGTAAACTGAGGGGCCCCTGAGGGGTTCAGGGCTCTGAGGGAAGAGAGCTCAACAGGGCCGCCCTGGGGCTGAAGGGGTTAAGCACCGCGCTGACTGACAAGCTATCTGCCCCCTCCACAGCAGGGAGCCTCCCACAGGGCATGGCAGACCTCTCCCTTCTTGCCCACTGCTCCCCTCAGTAGTGTATTTCAGTCAGTCGGCCTGTTCTATGCCCCACTCTGTCTCTGGTGAATCCTCTCTCTCTCTCTCTCTCTCTCTCTCTCTCTCTCTCTCTCTCTCTCTCTCACACACACACACACACACACACACACACCCCTTTGGCCTGCACCCCAGCTCTTGTATGAATAAATTTTAAAAATATACATAAGAAGTTCACATATAGTCTAAATAAGACATTCAGATACCAAGACACATTTCATCAAAATCAACATTCAGGTATTTAAGAAGCATCTTGACCTTCTGATATCTGGATCACAGAGTCGGTGTTCAACATAAAGATGCTTTGCTTAGCTAATGTGAATGCACAAGAATTCTACGCTGTTATGAAAAGCTCACCTGCACTTTCATCACATGCTTGTGAAGATTTTTTTTGGCAAAAACGTCCAATAATATTCATGGCTCCATTACTACCATGAAGAAACATGAGGATATTAATAAACTGTTAGTGTATTCCCTGAAGGAGAAAATGATGAAATGAGTTGAACCTCAGCACGTTTCCGTGTCTAACTTTTATGCCCACAATGAAGTCCACGACTCCTCTGGGTGATTTACATCAACCTTTTCAGTCAGACACAAACAGCATATCCATTTAGATTTTCTTCATCCATGATGCATGACACCATCATAAATGTACCCAAGCAATTAAGATGTAAAGAAACTCATCAACTGGAGAGGGTCCCTTAGATGTTTGACACACAAAAGTCAAATACATAACTCCACCTACATACCAGGAGAAAGCCATAGAGTGAAGTGATTTAGGGCTGAATTATATTCATCAGGTCTCTTCACAATATCTCAAGTATGGTTGATTAAAAAAAGGACAAAGAAAATAACTATACAGGGCCCCAAACCATCGTCTTGAACTCTTACTTATTTTTTTAAAGATTGATTTTATTTATTTATGCATACAAGAACAGAGGGGTAGGCCAGAAGTGTACGGGGTGAGAGGATTCCCCAAAGACAGAGTGCAGAGCAGAACAAGCAGATTGACTGAAACACACTGCTGAGGGGAGCAGCAGATAAGTCAGGAGAGGTCTGCTGTTTCATGTGGTCAGCTCCCTGGCCAGGGACCAAACGATAGCTTCATAGTGCTGTGACTTAACACTGTGCACCACCAGGAAGGCCCTCAGACTTTTCAGTTATGCTAATATTTGGTGTTTTAATGTTGGCTTATGCTCCATAACAATTTTCTGACTTAAGGAATGTAAAGTGTTTCTCACTTCCTACTGTATTGCAATACCTTAATATGAATCTAAATTGCATTATAAATTACTTAATCATATTTTCACTTCTTTCAAGTTTCCAGTATGAAAATCTGGTGGCTTCAAAATTCATATTTGGACAAACCACTCACTCATCGCTTTCCATTTACAGTTTCTCTTGGTTTGCACTCTCTGAAACCAAGCTGTGGGTGATACTATGTGCATACTTCAAACCCACTATGTAGACATACAATGTGGAATCCATTATAATAAAAGCTACTGTTTTTGAGTGTAATTTCTCAAAAAAATGTTACATTATATAGGTTCAACTATTTTAAAATTTTACTACAATTCAATACATGATAACATTTTTGGTTCATTTCTCTGGAAGTATAAACAAGCTATGAGAGAGAATGTGTGTAAAATGACTGACATTTCCATTGACATTCACATCAAAAGGAATGAAATAACTGTGACTGTATCATTAAAGTGAAAGAAGGAGGTGAGGGACCTGAACCCTGAAAATAAAAAAAAAAAAAAACTCTATTAAAGGAAATAAAAGACAGAGAGAAATACAAAGATGTTCCATCCTTCTAGGTGGGGAGAATAAACATCATAAATGGCCTTATTGTCTAGAGCAATTTACAAACTTATGCAATACCTATCAAATACCAAGGACATTTTTATAAGGAAACAGAACAATCCCCACATTTATATGAACCCATAGAAGGTCCCAAATAGCAAAAAAATCTTGGGAAAAAAGAAGAAAATGTAAGTATCACATTTCCTGACTTCAAAATATATATAATGCCAACAGTAATCACAACATTATTTTACTGGAACAAAACCAGAACTCAGAGCAATGGAAGGCAACTAAAAACCCAGAGAGCAAATGATATAAATATGAAGAGTTCAATCTTGGACAAAGGAGCTAAAATCATACCATTCAGACAAGACAGCCTCTTTAATAAATAGTACTGGGACGGGCCCCCTGGCAGCCTAGGGGTTGAGTCAGTGCTATCACGGCTATTCCAGGCCAGAGAGCTGACCCACACGTGGCACAGCTGACCTCACCTGTCCCTCTCACCGATTCCCTGAGCAGTGTATTTCATTGGATCTGCCTGTTCTGCTCCATACTGTGTTTCTGGCAAATCTTCTCAAACCCTGAATATCTGGTCTACACCCCAGTTCTTCTATGCATAAATAAATAAATACATATTTTTAAAAAAGGGTGCAGGGAAACATGAATAATGACTTGTAAAAATAAGAACCAAGACCCATTCAAAACTCCATACAGGGCCTCCCTGCTGGCACAACATATGAAGTTATCCATAGCCACTGCAGCATGAGTTTGATCCCCAGGTAGAGAGCTATCCATATGGTGCAGCAGACCTCTCCTGACTTGCCCGCTGCTCCCCTCACCAGTGTATTTCAGTCAGTATGCCTGTTCTGTTCCTCACTCTGTCCCTGTTTGTGATACATATTGAATCCTCTCACCCCCTACACCTCCGGCCTGTACCCCACTTCTTGTATGCATAAATAAATAAATCTTTAAAAGAAAAACTCCATACAGAAAACTAATTCCAAATGGATTAAAAGTTTGGACATAAGAGCCCAAAGCATGAAGCACTGAAAGAAAATAAAAGGGTACACTACAGGACAGCTGCTGCAAAATGCACGAGGGAACACAACCCCAATGCCAAGGGAAACAAAAGCAAGTTTCACAAGTTTGGACAACACCAAATCTAAAAGCTTTTAGAACTCAAAAGAAACCAGCACAGAAACAGAAATGCATCCTACAGAATAGAACACACGCAACACATCTGACAAGGGGTTCATTCCAAAATTTGTAAAGTTCCCACCCAGAGTGAAAAACCAACCAATGAGTCAATTGAAAAGGGCAAAGGAGGGCCTCCCGGTGGCTCAGTGGTTGAGTGCTGGGTTGAGAATCTGCCCGCGCGGCCTCCACGGAGCCGGTTCAATCCCTGGCTGCTCACCGGCCACCAAAGGAGGGTCACACATGGCACGCAGACCTCTCCTGGGGCCCACTGCTCCCCTCAGCAGTGTATTTCAGTCCTTCTGCCTGCTCTGCTCCCGGCTCTGGCTCTGGTAAATTCTCTCACCCTCCTGTGCTTCTGACTGTACCCAGTGCATGTATAAACAAAAACAAACAAATAAATAAATAAATAAAACATGCTTCTATTGAAAAAAAAGAAAAGAAAAGGGCAAAGGAAATAAACACTTCACTAAAGAGGAAATTCTGAGGTCCAACAGACATAGGAATGTTCACCTTAATTTATTGTAAGAGAAATGTCAATTAAAACCACACTGAGATGCCACCTCAACACTTGAGAATGGTCCAAATAAAAAAGATGAAATGAACAACACTGGAGAGGGTGCAGAGGAAAGAGAGCTCTCACCCATGGCTGGTGGCCATGAGAGTTGGACTGTCCCTGCAGATAATGGGGCAGAGATTTCTTAAAGAAATGAAAATGGAAATTTCATATGTCAGCAATACTTCTACAAGTTATTTATCCAGAGCCTCCCTGGTGGTGCAGGGGTTAACACACAACCTACAAAGCAATCTGCAGCCACTGCAGCATGAGTTTGATTCCTGGCTGGCCAGGGAGCAACCCACATGGCAGGGCAGGCCTCTCCTCTCTTGCCTACTGCTCCCCTCAACAGTGTACTACGGTCTGTCTTCTGTTCTGTTCCTCACT